TATTTCCCTCCTTATAGCTGGCAACCCTACTTTCCCCTCAGTGCCTGTTGGTAGGCAACTAAGCTTGGTCCTGTCACCTACTTTGGCCTTTGGGAGAAAACACATTGGGGCCAGTCCTGATAGGGTTGCCAACTCCAGATGGGAAATTCCTGGAGATTTGAGGGATGGAGCCTGAAGAGGGTGAGGTTTGAGGAGGGGTGGGACCTCAGACAGGTACAAAACCATAGACTCCACCCACCAAACCAATAAGTCCCACATAGGGAACCATTGTTGCCAATCTTTAGGTGAGGGCTGGAGAGCACTCAGAATTACAACTGCTCTGCAGAAGGTAGGGCAGAAGTCAGCTGAAGTCAAAGGGGCAGATAATGGTAGGTTGATGGTTAGCTGGGAAGAAGATGGGGTTAACTCCACCCTCCAAACCAGCCATTTTGTCCTGGGTAACAATTGCTGCCAATCTCCAGGTGAGGGCTACAGATCACTCAATTACAACTGCTCTTCAGGTAGCAGAGATCAGTTCCTCTGGAGAAAACAGTGGACTCTGTCATTATACCCTGCTGAGGTCACCACAGCAAATTGACACTGTTTGCCCAAAGCCAGAGCACTCCCCCAGAGCCTCTTTCTAGATCTCATTGTATTGTTTTCACAACGGGCTTTACTGCTAGTACAGTTATAAAGATCTAGAAAGTCAACATCTTTTGGTGGTATTCTTTTGATGGTACAGAAGTTGGGAGTAGGCATGGGATTTGCCTCTGTATTCAGCATTTCAGTGTGACTCCCTTCCCTACCCAGAAATAAGGGCAGATCTTCTCCCCAGAGAACACTGCTGAAGAAAAAGTGAAGATCAAATGGTCTGTCTCTGCATCAAAGAATGTCACAGAACCCTCTTCGTAGTCCAGGCACACCAGGATTTTCCTGGGCTCAGGTCTCAAGTCCAAAGGAGTCCTCTTGGGGGAAGTGAAAGCCGCCAGTTGCCGAAGAGAGATGGAATAAAAGAATGGCTTCCCCACAGCCCAGATCCCTTCACTAGGATTGAGGCTGAAATACCCTTTCCTCTTGACAGACTCTCGTGTAGCCCCTACTGCCCACAGCGCCCCTTCTTCCTCCTCCTCCACCACCTCCACTTCCCACCAATGTCGTCCTGAAGAGATTCTCTCACGGCCCAGCACACAGCGCTCCTTGTCAAATCTCTCGGGGGTCTTGGGCAGGTCCTGCTCTTTGCCTGCCCATCTCACGCTCTTCAGGTCCTCGGACAGGATGAGGTGGGGATTGGCTGTGTCTGGATCCAGCGTCACACTCACTGTAGGGCAGAGGGGAGGGGAGAGAGGGAGGACAGGTGGTCGATAAATCTGAGGAAACAACCAGCTGCCTGAGGGGGCGCTTCCGCATTCTCTTTTTCCTCACAGGTAAGTTCCTGTTTCTTCAGGGTTTTTTTTCTGTACCACATATGTTTTGCTCTCTAGTGGTCAATTCAATATCACACAGATTTATGTCTGGCATAAAAATATGCTGGCGACCAAGTTATTTCATGCCATAGTATTCCCCATTGGTATGTATGGGTGTGAAAGTTGGACAATGAAGAAAGCTGACAGGAAAGAAGTAGATTCCTTTGAAGTGTGGCATTGCATCACACAGATTTATGTCTGGCATAAAAATCTGCTGGCAACCAAGTTATTTCATGCCATAGTATTCCACATTGGTATGTATGGGTGTGAAAGTTGGACAGTGAAGAAAGCTGACAGGAAAGAAGTAGATTCCTTTGAAGTGTGGCATTGCAGGAAAGCTTTACAGATACCGTGGACTGCCAAAAAGACAAATAGGTGGGTCCTAGATCCAATCACCCAGGGGCTGTGGTGGCTCAAGTGGTTAAGATGCTGAACTGAAGACCGGAAGGTCGGTAGTTCAGCAGTTCAAGACCTGAATGCCGCATGACGGAGTGAGCTCCCGTCTCTGGTCCCAGCTCCTGCCAACCTTAGCAGTTCGAAAGTAAGAAATCACAAGTAGATAAATAGGTACCGCTTCGGTGGGAAGGTAACAGCATTCCGTGCACCTCAGCATCTAATCATGCCGATCACATGACCACGGAAATGTCTTTGGACATTTCGGCTTGGAAACGGAGATGAGCACCGCATCCCTAGAGTCGGATTCGACTGGCTTTCACCTTTTGCCTTTACCTAGACTCAATCAAGCCTGAACTCTCCCTAGAAGCTAAAATGGCTAAACTGAGGCTATCGTACTTTGGTCACATTATGAGAAGACAAGAGTCCCTGGAAGAGACAGTAGTGCTAGGAAGAGTTTACAGCAGCAGAAAAAGAAGACCCGAACATGAAATGGATTGACACAATACAAGAAGCCACAGCCGTCAGTTTGCAAGACCTGAGAATGGTTGCTAATGACAAGACATTTTGGAGAATGTTAATTCGTAGGGGTGCCATAAGTCGAAAGCGATTTGATGGCACTTAACCCACACACACACACAAAAAAACCCTTGCAGTTTGAATCTGCTGAGAGATATGCTAACCCATGTGATATCAAGTCAACCACTAGAGGGCGCAAAAGATGTGTGGAACTGAACTCCCCACCCTTCCGCCCTGAAACACACACAGCGAGGAAAAGCCCGGGGTGCCTAATCAAATCTGAAACACACACAGTGAGGAAAAGCCTGGGGTGCCTAATCAAATCCTGGTGGTTTTTTTCCAGATTTCACTAAAATCTGGTTGGGAGACCTAGCAAAAACTAGAAAAAGCCACTTCCCCAGCAGAGGCAGATAAAGGACAGGGAGAAACAGCAGGATGCAGCAGTCCTCTGAGGCCTAGTTACTGGGATAGTTTTAAAATCCCGTAGTTGTAAAAAAAGCAGACACTAAACGTAATCCAATAAATGGATGGGGGCAAAGCACCAGGCATTGTGTGTCTAACTCTTCACCTGAAGAGAGACCATAATAACAAGCATTTATATAATGCTTTTAAAGAGAGTCCAAAGAATTTCATATCCATTATGTCAGTAATGGCTGGCGCTATCTGCATTACAGGGAAGTCTGCGACTCTGAGAGAATGATGGCTTGTGTGGAGCAACCAATAAATTAACAGTTATAAATTAAACATAGCTGGTAACAGCCTACAACTTGTGTTGCCCAGCCTGGCAACCAGCTGAAGACTAGGGGGGAATTGGCTGACAGTGTGAACTCTAGGGTGGCCAAGCCAAGCCTGGAAACTGGTGAGAGGATGGTGGAGGGGGTGGTGAACTCTAGGGTGGCCAAGCCAAGCCTGGAAACTGGTGAGAGGATGGTGGTGGTGGTGGGGGACATAGGGAGCGTGATTAGGGTAGACTACATCCAGACAGTGCCTGGAGATCTCCCGCTATTACAATTGATCTCCAGGTGACAGCGGTCAGTTCACCTGAAGGAAATGGCTGCTTTGGAAAGTGGACTCTATGGCATTACACCCCACTGAAGTCCCTCCCCTCCCCAAACCCTGCCCTCCTCAGGCTCCACCCACAAAATCTTCAGACATTTCCCAACCTGGAGCTGGCAACCCTACAACATAATGTCAGTTGCCTTCCTACATCAACTCCAGGAAAAACCTGCAAATCACATAGGGTAGCTCTAGGAATGATCTGAAATGCCATGGTAAAGCCAGCTACCTCTAAGTCACCTTTCCCCCACCAGAAGTGACATAGTGATGCAGCTGACATCCCCTTTTTACACCCCCTCCCACTACTACCTGGAGTAGCAGCAGGCAACAGAATCTGGGGGCAGGGGATCCCCCACCCCAACTGGGGGACTGACAAGCCTAGCGACATCAGTTCCAGGAACTACAGAAGTGATGTCACACCTCTCTAGGAACACGGCAACACTATAGAGTTTATGGTGACTCAGTCCCAGAGAGGACTGATGTCACTTCTACTCAGAGCAGAAGCAAGAAACACCAGCTGGGGGCAGGGGGGATGCTACATTGGGCTTTATTCATTTGCTAGCCTAGTCATTACCTGTTTGACCATCCCTTTAGGACTACTGAGAGGAGGGAGGTGTCACTGAGGGATAATATCAGTATAGTTGTTCTAATGTAGTCTATTGTGCATGGTCTTCTAAACATGAGAGAGACCAAATTGGAATGTTTGTTTGTGGGCCTGTGGCAGTTCTGGCACTCTGACCACCCTGTTTAGCCTATTTATTGGTCAAATGCTATGTAAGGGAAATAGAGATCCAGCTGGTGGTCCAGAAGGGGATGCACTGAAGTTGCTTGCAAAATGTGTTTTAAATCAGTATTTGAACACAGGGTTGCTGCTGAGGCTCCACCCCCCCACCGGAAGCTTCCCTCATAGAGTCATAGAGTTGGAAGGGACCTCCAGGGTCATCTAGTCCAACCCCCTGCACAATGCGGGAAATTCACAGATACCTCCGCCCCCCACACACCTCTCCTTCTTTTGTTCCATGCAAATAATTACCTTTATTCAGCATTTGTTCCAGGGACCCTATTAGGTAGAGAACAGGGTGAAAAAATTATGTTGTTGTTGTTTATTGCTTTTATGCACACATACACACACACATTTTCTCTCTCCACGAAATTAAAATAAGCTGCCATGCAATGCCTAGGGTCAGGGTAGTACAAAAATTATCTAACCCATACGTACTGACAAGGCAGCAAAGACAACACAAGTCTGACTTCCAACTTTAATCCCATACCTGCCATAAATAGTAGTCTAAATACTAATACTCTCAATAAAACCCATTTTCTAAAGCTTGGCCAAGATGGACTTGTCCCAGAAGAGAGTACCACAGCAAAAGACTAACCACTAGGTCTGCCAGCTGGCTAGGAGAAAAATACCCTATTCAGAGGCCTGGACTATGTGGAAATGGGCAGCTGAAGCCTTTCACCACCTGGAGCTAAGTAACACCATCCAGCTGATATTTGTGGCAGGGCAAACTGATATTCAAGGGACAGCTACAGGAACCAGTTTAAAGAATTAACGTTCAAATCTGGAGCCTGCTTGCCAAATGTGGAAGATTGGTTGTAAGGATCTTCTGAGGGTATTTTTTTTTTAAAGCAGACTGGCCATGCAGTTGTATGCTCTGAAGATCAGGGAAGCGGGCCAGGTGAAAAAGTAAAACCTTTTTCCTTACATGATTTTAAAATGTCCTTGTAAAGCTCATTTGTCATGTGTATAGGAAAAAGCAGGTTCTTTAACACCACCACCTCACACAATTATTGTTCCCTAATGTTCAAAGCACTCCCCTGGGCCTGCTATTTAGTTTTTACATGACACACACAGGTCCTAATCAAGAATATTTTCCTTTTGTCTAATGTGATCCTGTTTAAGAACGAAGGGCACTGAGAAAACCAACTTGGAGGTTAGGTGATATTCAGGAAGAAACAGGCTTTCCTTGCAGCCGATTTGGGAGTAGATTAACCTACCAGATCTGTCCATTCCCCTCCCTGAGTTGTCCACAATACCTTTATATTTTTCCATAGCCTTTCTTAAAGCAGAATTCTTCTGTGAGTAAATTCCAGGTATTTCTTCTAACCAAGGACAAAGGTCCATCACATTCCCCACTCGTTCCTTCTCAAACCTGGAAGAGAAGATGGTTGCCTTTAACAAACAGTTAAAACCATTATGCTCCCCTCCCCTGCATGCTTATAAGTTGTAGTTGCAGTCTGGCCAGTCACTCCAATACAGATTACTTGAGGTAGGCATCCCAGTTTGCCATTTCAAGGCTCAAGATTCTTTAAAAATATCAGAGGGTCGACTGAAAGTTCACTTAATGAGCCACTTTTTAAAGAGAGTTTCTCAATACTGACTTTTCTTGTGGATGAAATTTGAGGGAAGTTGGTGCTTATGGAGAAAGAGTCTGGCCTTTTCTATCAAACACCAGGTGGGTCTTCCTGTCAATTGATATAACTACAGGTCCCCCAATAATCCCTTTGCTGTTGTTGGTGGACACATGAAGTTTTCTTATTTTGATGCACACCATTGGTCTTTCAAGATCTGTATTTTGTACTCTGACTGGTTGTGGCTCTCCAGGGCCTAAGACTGATGTCTATTCCTATCACCTGGCTACCTGATTGCTCTGACTACAAAAGTTGGGGATTGAACCTTGGACCTTCTCTATGCAAAGTATGTGCTCTACAACTGATATATGGTCCCACATTTCTCTCCCCACCACTACTTTTGTTTTTAAAATCCACCCTGATGAATAATGTGTCCAGGGTGGCAAAAACACCATTTTATCCCCTATACCGAGCCCACCAGTTGGCCTCCTATCTGTCCCACTCTGACCTTGTCACTGTGGTCCATGCGATGGTCACCTCCAGATTAGACTACTGCAATGCACTCTAGGTAGGGCTGCCCTTGAAGATGCTTTGGAAGCTTCAGGCGATCCAGAATGTGACTGCTGGATTGCTAATTGGGTCCCCCTGTCTGCACATATAACATCAGTACTTTAGCACCTGCACTGGCTTCCAGTCAGCTTCCTGTGCCAACTCAAAGAGCTGGTTTTGAACTACAAAGCCTTAGTGGTCTGACACTGTTCTTCCTGCAGGAACTCTTCTTCCAGTATGACCCCCCCTTGCCCCCTTAGGTTATCATCACAGGGCCTTGTATGGGTGCCTGGCCTGCAAACTGCCCCCTTGCCCCCTTAGGTTATCATCACAGGGTCTTGTATGGGTGCCTGGCCTGCAAATTGCCTACTTATCAACCACCAGGGCAAGGACATTTCCCCTGGAATCAGCTCTCCCAGAAATTTGGTGCATTCTCTTTAATTCTCCAAGCAATTTGTTGTGAAGTTGATGTTTCATTTGGTTTTATTGTTCTATTTACTGCTTTTATTTGTATTTGTATATTTATTTATTTTATTGGATTTGTATCCCACCCTCTCCGCATAGCAGGCTCAGGATGGGTCCCATCAGGCACAATAACCAATATACAATGTACAAAAATTTTAAAAAACAATTAACCCCTCCCCCCAAATAAAACACACCAGTATTCATATGGTACAAATCAAAGCCTCACAGATGCAGTCTATTTTGAATTTGGGTCCTCAGATGATAATACGGATCTGACCCGCTGAGGGGAGGCCCAGTAGAGAGGAGGAATGCCCGCCATCCTAACTAAAAGTCTGGTGGAAGAGCTCCGTCTTTCAGGTCCTGCAGAACTGTAAAAGGTCCTGCCAGGCCCTGATCTCATTTCAAAAGTTGTAAGCTGCCTGAGTCTCCTGTGGGGAAAGGGTGCGGGGCATAAAATAAACAAACAAGCTTGAACAAGTCAGTGTGTGTCAGGGTCAGTACTGCCTACTCTGACTGGCAGCAGCTCCTAGTATGTCAGGCAGAGGTCATTCACATTACCCACTGTGTGTGTAAAGGGCCATCAAGTCGCAGCTGACCCTAGCAAGGGGTTTGCAAGGCAAGTGATTATGCAGAGTTGGTTTGCCATTATCTTCCTCCGTGGGGTCTTCCTTAGTGGTCTCTCTTCCAAGTACTGACTCCTGCTTAGCTCCTGAGATCTGACGTCAAGCTATACCATGCCACCTCCCCTCCCCTGCGTCACCTACTACCCGTTCCTTTTAAGTGGAGATGCTGGGGACTAAACCTATGGCCTTCTACATACAAAGCAGACATTCCACCACTGACTCATGATCCCTTGTTACATAGGTGTACGATCCCATCTGTTACGCCTATCTTGCTAATGCTGTCTCCCTGCTAATTTCCCCAATTAAAAGGAGACAGGCAGTTCGAGTAACACCTTCCCATAGAAAGGAGGAACAAATAGAAAAGAAAACACTGGGGCAGATGCCGGGCCCAGTGCTCACTGGTGGAATATATGCACATATGGAAGGTTAAGGAGGACTGTCCTTGTTTTGCAAACTGGCTTTTGTAAAAAAATGCCCTTCCATCATTCTTAGACTGTCCCATTCTTCTGGTTGGCCACCAGTCTGGGATGTAAACAGAAACCATTTGCCTGAATGTCCACACCCTACAAAGCTCAGGAGGGAGTGATGAAATAGTGCAACTCGATTTCAGCAGAGGTGGGAGTAGCAAACATCTGTATCTTCTTTAACTAATAAACTCAAGGAGGTTACAGGTTCATTCCCTGATATCTGTACCTGAAAGCATTTCAGGCAGCTGGGCTGGGAAAGACCTGAGACCTGGAGAGCCACTGCCTCTTGGAACAGACATTACTGGGGTAGATGCTGTGACTTCCCATGAGGTAACTTCTGATTTCACACACTTCAGAACTAAGGTTGCCCACAGGCCTGGAGAATAAAACATCCTGACCCTTGAATAGAGGCTTAACATATGGAAATAGGCATAATATCTCTTGGGCCTGCTGGCAACCCTATTCAGAACAGAAAGTGCTTGTTTTCATATGAAACATACAGTTGTGGCCAAGCTCCTGTGGTGGATGACCCCTTCCCCGCTGTCTGAAGGCTGTCAGGCACTTCTGCTTAGAGAAATATAATTTTAAGCTCAATACTGGCATCCAGAAAATTGTTTCTGAAGGTTGACCATACCCAACAGAGTTTCTGTCTTTATTTTGTGACAACATGCCTGTGTCTTTTAAAAGGGGGCGAAACCCTTTTTTTCACGAAAGGTGAAAGAGAAAGAGCCATACCTCCTCACAGTACTGCCGATGTTCTGGAAAAGAGAACAAGAGAAATTGCATTTAGCTGCACAGACAGGAACATCCATTTGACAAGTAAGAAATAGGATTCATCTTTTACAGACAGAATAGCCACAACTTCTTGTTCTCAAAGGGATTCACTTACACCTTCCTAATCTGGGAAAACAACACCCTTCCCCATCTTTTACTCACAGGGACCTAGGTAGAGACCATTGTTTATTTATTTATTTATTTATTTATTTGTACTTTCAATTTATATCCTGCTTTGCCGGTGCAGCAGTGGCTCAAGGCGGCTTACATAGTTAAAATGCAATAAAACCAATAAATGCAATAAAAACTCACAATTAAATTGTTATTTAAATCTCACCTGTAGGAATTGACTCTCTGCCTGCTGGCACTTCTCCTCCATCTCCGTGAGCAGTTTGCTGAGGCGTGGAATCTCCTCACAGAGTCTGGTGAGATTTTCTTCCTGCTTTCTCTTGATCTCTTTCTCCAGATCTGTTATCTGGGCCAGCAGAAGGTGCTCCTTTTCCTCAAGAAAATTGCGCATTTGCTCAAAGGTGGTCAAGATCTTCTGCTTTTCTACTTCTAACTGTGTCTGTGAAAGACATACAGAAATTGGGGAAGAGTTGCCTTGATACAGATTGAACAAATGGTGGTGGCGGTGGGGGCGGGGGGGAGAACTGTGATTTCAGTGGGAGCTGGGGTTGCTTGGATGTTAAAATGTTTTCAAAAGCCTCCTGTGGCATCCATTTTGGGGTGATGCTCACCACCCCCTCCCAGAATTCCATAGGTGCCTGCAGGCCTCAAAAAGGTTGAGGACCCCTGCTTAATGGGATGTTATTGACCTCCATGACATTATAGGTCTCAGCTGACCCTTTGCTAGGGTTGCCACGTCCCCCCGGGGGGTGGATTTCCCCCCATTTTGGAGGCCTGATTTCCGCCGCCACGGAATCGGGCCCCGGGGGCAACCCCACCCCGACGTGCACGTCATCCGGATGTGACGTGATGATGCCAAGCATGCTGGGGGCGGGGCCACAGCCATTTGAGGGGAAACCTCTATTCCATCTAGGAGCCCCCCGCCACAGAAGAAAAACGACTTGGCAACCCTACCCTTTGCATTCATTTTGCATTCCTCTTTGCATTCCAGTTGGTTTGATGGAAACAGGGGACATGTTTGAAAGATCCCAAAGTTGATATAATTGTCCAGGTCCCCCATTGTCCTAGTCACTACTCTGAAATAGCTTCTAGTGCATTGATGAAAGAAGCAGAGAGCTGTTTCTGTCAGTTGGTGAAGGGGATTTTAGACCAATGAAGATAGGTATACCGTAGTTCATCAACCGCCATTGAGATAGGTTAGGGTTCCAGAAACCAGAGGCCCCCCCTTGGTCAATTTAGCAACCGGTCCGACTTGAGGCCAATGGCAGCATCTTCCTGCTGCACACA